GTCTCTCTGTTTTATTGATTTCCTTGCATTTGATAAGTGTTGGAATATTGATATCAGCATTGATTTCCGGTGATGCATTCTTCTTGGTATATACAGTTTTTGATCTTTCATTCTTTGTCAATCTAGTAGGTTGTTGAACATTATTTTGATGGCTCGAAATTGTTCCAATTTCATTGGTGTTTGAATGATCCTGCTTGGTACTAGCTGATTTTTTTGATATTTTATTTTTCATACAACAATTAAAGAAATCGGAAATAGCAACGTCAATTTGATTGCCCTCGTCCGTAATGTTTTCATCCGTTGTCGGTTCTATATTGATACTAGTATCAGACTCACTTTTGGAAGACTGAATTTTGTTGGTATCTGTTTTAAGACTATTTTTATTTTTCAAAAAATTATATTCAAGGTAATGGTTGTATTCTGTATCATTATTATTATTTTCATTATCTGTTACAGTCTCGTCAAGTAGGGGCATGGACTGATTACAAATTGTTTGTGTACTTTGGGTTTCATTTTTTTTTTTTTGTGACTTAATCACTGGGTAGTTGTACGTTTCAACATTTGAATTTGTTTTTTTTACATTTTCTATATAACTCTGTTTTTGATCATCAAAATGCTTTTGCTTTTTGTTCTTGTCAAAGGAATGTAAATTATCCACAATTAAATGATTTTTTAGAATTAATGAAGCATCAAGTATGTGCTTAGGAATGACATAATTATTAATTATTTGTGGTAATTTTCTTTTTACTGTATTTCCTAAGGAGCTATCATGAGACTTATTCTTTTTTAAAGAATTACCTTTCTTTGTAAAACATTCATGTATAGGTTTTGAATCTTTTGAATCACTGTACAAAACATCTTTGGCTGAAGAAATATCTGCTAAGCGATCACTCTTTTCCATCAAAGAATTAACATTAGTTTCATTTACTTGTACTGACAAGACACTATGTGCCTTACTCTTACTATTTTTTGCAATTAATCCTTTGTCCTCACAAGTATCGGATGGGTGCTTAAATGTACATCTAACCAATGGCACAGAACATTCTCTAAGTTTAATTTGATTTTTCTTATCTGTTTTAATATTCATTATTCCAGGTACCAGCCTGCATTCTTCTTCTTCATTAACCTTACTACTGTTTTTTTTGCCCAGAGTCTTATTATGTTTTGAACTTTTGTTCATAGGTAAATTTTTAATGGGTTTATTTTTTGATCTTCCTCTCTTTTTCTTTGGTAACTTCACCTCCTCTGGTTTACTGCCACTTAATTCCTTGGAAACTGTCATTTCCAAATTACTATTCATATTTATATCTTTCATATTATATACAATAAGAGGATGTTGTAATAGAATGTTGCTATTTCCATGGAAAATATCATGAAGGATAATCATGGGATATTTAGATGCTCTGAGCGACGTGCAATCTTTTGAATGATTATCACGATGTTTTTTACTATTATTTTTTGAGTTAGATGATGGATTATACTTTTGAGTTTCGGGTTTATTATTTAATATCTTTGTCTTCATATTCTAATTCCGAATCGAAGTCAGACGCGTTCCTTTGTCAAAGAATCTTCCTATGCAGATTTCTTTCACAGCGGAAATGCACGATATCTTTAATTAAGCAATAATCATCAAGTACGTGATATTTTTTTTAACAAATATGCTTTTATAACTTGTTAACTCACATTATGGCGATTGATGCAGTTTTTGTTTATTTAACTAGAGATTGCCATCGGAACACGTGCACAACGGCGCACTTGAGGCAAATCAGTACAGTACATACCAGTGCATACCGATTCCATTATTGTAAAACACGATAAAGCGATTGAAGAAACGATTCAGCTTCTTAAAATAAGATATTAAATGAGAATAACATTAGAAAAGAATACGCATTGATATGCATATTACTACTTACGATTATACAAAATGCGAACTTGTTGGCTACGCGGCGTTTTTCAAGTTTTCAACGTTTCTTCGAGAATCTCATACGAGTTTCGATTATTACTGTTGCCAATATAACAAAGACCTATTTCTAGGGAATATTAAGATGGTACACTGTATTTTTTAAATATCTTATTTCGCGGGCTACTACTTATTAGCCAGTAGATTGGCTTGTGTGACTGTTATAAGTCTTTTACAAGTTTCAAGGTATGATGTTTTTGTTAAAATAGTAAATTCTTACCATTATGCAGTATTTAATTAAACTTTATTACGTTCTTTATGGTTCAAATAGTTGTAAATTTGTGTAAGTAGGATTCTGCGCCGGGAGGATGCCGGCAGAGCGCACTTTGCGCCATAAGTGTCAATTGCTATCGGTTTTAGTTATTTATTCGCAGCAGCACAATTTGAAAATGTCGGACAGTTCTGACGATGAAGTAAACGGCGGTGAAGAAATCAGAGATCCGTGGATCCCGTACAAAGATAAGGAAGAATGGAAGGACGTAACACCTTTGCCACAAGACGATGGTCCTCATCCAATTGTGGCTATTGCTTATACAAACAAGTGTAAGTTATTATAACCTGAAATCACAATTCTCATTCATTTTTATATTATTTCGTTGTTGAAGTTTTGTCTTTTTACTGATCTATACTATCATAGGGTATAAGACCTCTTACATATTTTACAGATTAAATGTCATTGATCGTGTCTATGAATGTAATCTTTATATTTTATAGTTAAGGATGTGTATGATTACTTTCGGGCCATCCTGAAATCTGGGGAAAAGTCAGAAAGAGCCTTGGCACTTACTGTAGATTGTGTCTCCTTGAATCCTGCAAATTACACAGTATGGCAATATCGAAGGGAGATTTTAAAGGCTTTAGGAAAAGATTTAAAAAAAGAATTAACATATGTGGATGTAGTTATCAAGCATAATTCCAAAAACTATCAAGTTTGGCATCATAGGAGAGTAATTGTCGAATGGCTTCAGGATGCCAGTGAAGAATTAGCATTTACTGAAGACATTCTGAGAAAGGATGCAAAAAATTATCATGCTTGGCAGCATCGTCAATGGTGTATGAAGACTTTCAAGTTAGTAAAGATAATCATAAGTTAGATAATAATTTTACATTATTGTACACATGACTTTATGAGAATTTTTTTTTGCAGTCTCTTTGACATGGAATTGACATACGTTGAACGATTACTGCAGGAAGATGTTAGAAACAATTCAGCATGGAATCAACGATACTTCGTGTTAAGCAATACTACAAAATTTGAATCAGATGTAATAGAACAGGAAGTTGATTTTGCATTAAACAAAATAACGTTGGTCAAAGGAAACGAAAGTGCCTGGAATTATTTGAGAGGGTAAGCAATAACTATTCTATAATATATCTATTTTGTTACAACACTGTCATAACAATAATTACACAGTATGGCAATATCGAAGGGAGATTTTAAAGGCTTTAGGAAAAGATTTAAAAAAAGAATTAACATATGTGGATGTAGTTATCAAGCATAATTCCAAAAACTATCAAGTTTGGCATCATAGGAGAGTAATTGTCGAATGGCTTCAGGATG